TGACAAGGCTGAATAAGTTGTTCCTATTTCTCTTATTAACTATGGATTTTCCTACTTCTTACATTTTTTAGAAGTTTTTTTACTCTGTTAAATCTCCAAGAGTAAAGAAACTTTTCCAGAAACAAAATTTGGAAATTAGTGTATAATGAAGAAGATTCCCTTTGACTTTTTGAGACCTGAGGGGAACAGCAGATGTCAAAATTCCCAGTTGAGGAGGTTAATGACCTTGGTAGACATTAGGAAGGTCTAATCCATGACCTGCATTTGTTGTAAAATAAAACTTTCTGAGAGATAAATACATTTTTTTTACTTTGAACCTTATAGATTCTCATATATGAGTATAAAGTATATAATTAATTTAATCCAAATTAGTATAATGCCTTAGTTATGAGGTTTGTGCTTATCTGTTGGTTTTAAGTGGCATTAGCTTTCTCATGAAATTAATTTATTTAGAAAGGGAAGGATTGTTTTTACTGTTCAGATTTTTCAACATTTCCCCCCAAATACTCACGAGTATTGTTCGCTCATAAACTAGAAACTACTACTCATCTGCTGTGAGCCTTTTGTTATCCTGAGATCATGAGATCCCTTATTTGTGAGGTGCAATAAAAAACTATGTCATATGAAAAGAACCAGACCAGAGTCCAAAGATAACAGTGCTATGTAGACTCTCTGTGGCCAGTGGAGATTTTGTTTTACAAGATGTGTCCGTGTTTGGTCAGTAAAGCCAACACAGAAGGTGAATGAAAGAACATTACTTTAAAGGCATTAAAGGACATGCCAAAGGAAAGCATTTTCAGTGCAGACATTCCTAACAGGGTAGAAGTACAGAATCAGCGTCAAGCCAGCCAAGCATAGCTTTGTTTCCCATCTATGGACGCCAGAACATAGGCAATGAAAAGTGCTGCTCTAGCAAAAATACTGCCACTGCTAGAAATCTTCATTTCCTTCCTCTTCTTTTCCTCCTTCTTTCTGTCTTTTCTGTCTTTCCTTCCATCCTTCCTTTTTAAAATTTTGGTTTATCCTGAAATTCTCAGAAGAAATTTGTGTAAGTTGTCATGGCCATGTTTCCATGGCTTTCCTAGTAAAAAGAGCCCGACAACTTTCCAAGAAAAACACATTTTCCCATTCTTTTGATAGAAATAAATGAAAATCAGGAAGGAGGGAAGGAAGAAAGGGAAAGAAGGAGGAAGGGTAAGCACAAGCATTACCAAATCAGATATCCTGCATATTTTAACTTTATCTGTGCATCCTTTACCATTTATGTATTTATATTTCACTTATAAACCATATAAATGTAGGCCTTCTTTTTAAAATTTGTACAAATATTAGCCTGAATCTTTGTTAAATGATTATAAGGTACCATTCATGGAGTTGAAAGATATTTGGGGTAAAATACCATTATCGAAGAAATGACAAATGTATTAGGAGAACAGATTGAATAGCAGTATTTATTAGGGACATAAACAAGATGTGGTGGATCTCTAAGGAACACCCAAAATGAATTGGAACCCAAGATTCCAATTGAAAATGTGCACTTAAATTATATTTATTATTGCCTCCAATGACCCCTTAACTTGCCTCTTACATTATGATTATCTTTCCGTTTTCCATAGAAGAAATTAAGACACCATTATTGAATATAATCAGCTTTCTATCTTATCTACTTGTACCCATAAAATTCAGACATGAAATGTAACAGAAATGTTGATCTCCCTGATCTTCCTCACAGAATTCAGAGGAAAGTCAGAGACAGGTGTTTTACCGTGTAAAGGCAATATTGGATTGCCTGTTGCCTCAAATGTCACCTTTTCTCAACTGAGAATTTTCAAAGAATGACATAAAACCTTAGGCAAAATTTTACAACTGAACTCTTCAAAGTTCTGATTAAATGCAAAGAGGATTGCCAAAGAGATGAATCCTTAGAGCGAGGAGTCACATTCTAAGTATCATTAGACTATGTAGAGAAAATCTCCACATGTGCTTCCTATGCTTTGCTCCTCTTTTGGGTTCCTTACCTCCAGGAGAGATGTAGAAACAGCTGAGCTGAGCTTCATGCACCAAGGTGCCCTTGCACTTTACCTCTGTGTCGGCAGACAGGTGACTGGACAGCGGCTGGTATGCAGGCGTGGTGGGCTGAACAAAGGCTCGAAGCATGGTGTATTTCCAGATGTGTACTAATAAATTGATTTTAAAACTAAACAAATATCTTGGAATCTTCTTATAAGTTTTCAAACTCAGAAACTATTCCTGTAGTAACAATTTAGAGCCACAAAAGTTCACATGGCCCTGTAGCCTGTGGTATTTACTTTAAGTTTTAGAACTCTAAAAACTATTTAGCCTTGTCTTTTTCTACCTTTCCTGTGTGCTTACTGCCTATGGAGGGACAGGCCTCTTACCCAGTGGCTTTACAGGAAACCTTGCATTGAAATGTGAAGCTAATGGTTTCTGTCAGCCTGTCAGCTCATCACCTCCCAAAGGCATGATGAGCTCTGGTCTTTTTATATCATCACGAGTTGCTCAGATATACTCTCTTGTGTGGAAGAGTGATTGGTTTGTCCAGGAGCTGGTAGACCTTGAGCCTAAGAGGCCAAAAACTTCAGCCGGAGAATGTGCACTTTAATGGAATTCACAGCCCCTTTCCCAGTGGAATGCAGCTCAAGTTGCAAAACTATTTTAGGGAGAAAAAAAATTAGACTCGGGTTACATTTTATCTTGGTGCCCTTTTGAGTAGCCAGGACTGTTGGTAAACCTGTTTTATTTTAAAACCCCCGTTTAAACTTTATGTTCAACTTAAATATTAACCAAAAAGAAAGCAGTTATTTCAAAATGATCTCATTTTAATTTTAAAACTATGTTGCTTAGAGATAAATGATTGACTCTTAAAGGAGGCTCCATGATATTTTAAATAATTACTACAAAGCCAGTCTTTCCTTCAATCTGCTTTGACATGTGAGAGATTTTTTTCTAGCATTTTCCCTCCTTAAGTCTGAATTTCAGTTGCCTCATAGTAATGACAATGTCAAACTGCTTGTCTGTTTGTATCAACAGTTTCCTTGGCATCCTACCCTTATGAAAATCTAGTTCCTTATGTCAGATGCCACAAATGTCTAACATCAAGAAAAATGGCACCCGAATGTTTCTGTTACTGCAGTCTACTGATGAGAGACACCAGTGCCAGGTTTTCCACTGCACTGAGCCTCGGGTTTCTTAGTTGTGCTGTGTTTTTCTCCCTTACTTACCATCTTTCTCCTTTGACAGTTTTGGAAAACTGTCTCCAGGGAAAGAAAGTTTTCACTCTAGCCAGAAAAACAGCAGTCTTCAAGTATTGTGACTAAATTAAAGCCACCAAAACACACAGATGTATTCAAATTTATTAAGTGGTTGGATGCCTGTGATTCAATATGCTTTTTCTTACAAGAACGGGAGGGTAGGAGGGTTGACATACAGGACTCTGGGTAGGGAGTCTGAGTGGGATGGGTGCTGATGGACTGGAAGCATCCTGGAATTGAAGTTTCACAAACATGTTTACTGATCTTGAGATGAATAAAATCCCTTTTGATATGACAGCTCTCATGAAGCATATCAACTTCAGGACTCAGATGGCCTGATTTTTCTTAAAAGATTGTCAGTGTACCAAGGAGGAATTTGTGTATGTATTTCTAAGAGGATAACAGTTTAAGCAAAAGTTGGAACTCTTTTTCTCCTCTTCTCCTCTTCTGGGACTCTTTACCCCTCACATGTAGGGGGTAAGATAAAGATTTCTTATATACATATAATTGCAAGAACAGTTTAAAACCTCACTGCCAACTTTTGGCAAGTTCATAATTGAGATTCATAAGGTTCTTCTGTAAGATAACTCCTTAAAATAGCACTAAAAAACATTTCTCATACCTTTTGATATTTGAATACGCATTGTCAAAAATCAGGACTCTCACGCCTAGTCCTTGGCCGGATAAGGGAGGAAAGATGTACGGAGTTAGAATATCACAGCTATTTTAATGAAACAGTACAATTAAGGTAATTAAATATTTGAAAGTTTAAATTTTATGTTTTCCTTTTTAAAAATTTGTTGATTTTCATTGCTTTATCATAATATTGCTTCTGTTTTCAGTGAAGACCTTTAAAATACATATGTAGTTAATACATTGGGTAATATATCTTTTACATGATGAACACCACCAGATCCTCAACTAGATACTTATAAATGCATTTTGGAACCGTTTCAGCCTTTGCTACAAAGATGTGGAGATGGACACACACTAAATTTAGTAGTCAATTTATTTGAAAAATTATTAAGTGAATCACTAGCAGCTATATTATACCACATTTTCTTTCATTATTGTGATTAAATCATGGTCATATTTAATCTTTCAACAGTTATAAATTTTCTATACATTTTGAAGTCAGATTTATTATTAAGATTTATTTTTTCCAGTACCCTCTCTTAACTTACAGCTCACAAAGCTAGTTTTTCATTGAACATATTCCTGGGAGAAGAAGAAGAGAAGGAGGTTTCTAGGCATAATTTGAGCATCGGGTTTCTGAATATTTAAAAATGAAGATTAAATGTGTTTATGAAATGTGCAAATGGAGTATAGAAACAATGATATCTCAAAGGCAGATGTTTAGAAATCCTGACTTCATTTTCAATCATTTGTTTAAGAAATATTTACCAAATTGTATTAAGGTGCTGTATTATTAAAGAAAACACACTGTATTGCTGTGTGTGTGTGTGTGTGTGTGTGTGTGGGTGTGGGTGGGTGTGTGTGTGTGGTTGAGCAGAAAACCACTGCAGATTTCCCTGTGGACTTGAAAGAATTCCACTGCTATATTTTTAAGCTTTAATTCCAAAGACTTGTTTAATTTATTTGATAATTATTGAATAAATTAATTCAATACATAAATTATTATATATTTCCCTTTAAGATGGAAAGAGAATCTCTTCCTATTTTGTAGTTTTAAGGTTGCTCATGCTTTGTTCGATGTGTTTTTTGCAGTGTCCATTTATGGAATCTGGTTTTATGATAAGGAAGAATGCCAAAGAATTGCAGAGCTTATGAAAAAGTAAGTGCCAAAAGGCTAAGTATTTTTCAGGACCTGGTGCTTCTGTTTGTATTTTTAAGTGTAGGCAAAGGTACTATAATCTTAACAGGATAAATCTCTTATAGTAGTTATTTTCACAGCAGTCAGGAAAACATTTAATACTACTTAATAGGTAAAAAATAACATAAACAACTTGCTACATTTTCACTGGATTTATCATCTTTGACTCAACAAATTTTGTTCTGCCTATGTGAAATATATGTAAGATGAGTTTTTTCCAGATGGCAGTTTTCCTTAATATTTTTCTCATTTATAAATTATTAATTTTTGTTTTGAAAAGTTATCAATGTGTCTATTAGTGAAAAGAACATCCAGAGCCATTCTAAAAGGCTGCTCCAGATTTCCTAAGATCTATCATTTCCTTCTTTCCTTAAACAGTTTCCTTTAACTGCATATCCTTATATGGGAGCTCAGAATTTCACACCATGTCTCAAATACTGAGTACTTAGGATACTCTTTTATTTTCCATCTCTGGAAATTTCTGAGTTAATATTACTTTAATAATTTGTCTGTCTATCTGTCTATCCCCCCACCCCACCCTTTACTAGTATTTTTCTTTTAATACTATGATATGTTGTGATTTGTATCATTCTGCATTCTGGGAAACTTTCACATTCCTCTGACTTTCCCAGTCTGGCTCCTCTGATTGCTTTGTAAGGAAGGCCCCAAAACAGCTTGGTTTCTACTCTGGGGTTGGTTGACTCCCTAATAAGCTCTTAAGCCCTAGGGCACTCACTGTGAAGCAGTTATTTCCCTGCTATTTGTGAGGATGGGTAAGAGCTTCAGCTACCTGTGCTGGGTCTCAGCCTGGGCCTGGACTCAGCCAAGCATAGGAGGGCTGTTGCCCGCATGGATGTGATCCCCCAGCTCTGTCTGCAAAAGAACCCATTTCCATTTTTAAACCCCAGAGCAGTGAAATGACCATTAAGTGACCCCAAGGAAATGAAAAATGGGGAGCACATTTTTATATAAATAAAATTGATTCCTGAAAATCTTGCTTGTAAGAGCTAATTTTAGGTAACTAGCTCAAGTTGCAAATGGTGATTAAGTGTGTTCAAACTGGTATTTGCCACCATAACAGCTAGTTTTTAGAGCATTCATGTTATTGTAAATTGCAGTGGATAATAATAGCAGGATTTCATATAGATTAAAAAATACCCTGTAGCTCAGCCAAGAGGCCATGGTAGAATTGTCAGCATTCCGCTGTAATTGCTTAACAGCTCTGGCAGGAAATTGATTATTTACTAGCAATAAGCAGCTGATGTAGGTGGATTCAAACCCCTTCCCCAGTTAGAATTAAATCTCTCAGTAAATTCTCAGATCTATATTTTTTATCATAAACTTCATGCCATAATAAAAGAATTTGAGCTGAAAGTCAAAGCACATAGAGGGAAAAAGGTATTTTTCTCAACATTCCCTTGCAGCATGTAGAGTAATCTGGTGTCCTACATTGTTTTCAGGGCAAGGAAAGACACTCATTTCCTTGTTTTTCAATAGCTTTTTATTTTATTTTATTTTATTTTTTGGTATCAGGGATCAAACTCAGGCCCTTGCGCTTGCGAGGCATGCAGCAGAACCACTGAGCTAAATCTCCAGCCCATCAATATCTTTTTTAAAAATTAGTGCATGTTTTAAATGCTCCTCTTCTCAGAATTAGGATAGAATTGTCACTGTGTTTCTAAACGGTGAATTAAGTTGCTACATCAGTTTTGCTTTGACTTTAAGGCACTCTGAGATGAGAAGAAAACAATCTCTATTGGCCATGCGATTTGGTTGATGCTACAAAACTAAATAGGGCTTCCTGAGCAGTTAATGAGAGCATTCTTTCAAGTGCTCTAAACAAGGAGTTGACAAACTTTCTTCTGAAAAGGACCAGATAGTGATTATTTTAGGATTTGCAAGCTACCTATCTCTGTTACAGCTACTCAACTCTGCCATGGCATTGTGAAAGCAATCACAGGCCATGCATACTGGCTTTTGGCCTATAGGTTAGTTTCCTGACCCCTCTAGATTCACCCATAGCCAGTTGACTCAAGACCTCAACTTTCATTTTTGGTCTTTAAATTCCTGAGTGATTTTATTTTTAATACAATTGTAACAGGATGGATACAACAGTGTAAGAACTCGAATGATTTTAAAAGCCATTTTTGTTGAATTGGCTTTTCTTGTGTGAGTCTCCCCCTCTGTTTTTTAGCCTAACTCAGTATGAACAGTTGAAAGCCCATCAGGGTGCTGGAGCAGGAGTCTCCCCAATGATCCTCAGTTCAGGAGAGGGCAAAGAAGTGGATATCTTACAAATGCTCACCAAGGCCAAAGATGAATATACAAAGGTGAGTTTTTTGCCCTTTCTTGTGATATAAATTTAAATTTCACAGTGGAAATATTGTTGTTAAGAAAGACTCTAAACAAAACTATATGAAAAATAAAATTTTTATTTGCTTTTATCGGGCTAAAGAAGACTGTTTGCTTTTAAGTGAATTAAAAGGTGGCCTGAGAAATAGTGGCCTTCATATAAACAGACAGTATCAGTTAAATTTACTAGAAGACCCCATTTACATACATTCCTTTGTAATAAAATTCACAAAAAAGTAGGCAAAACCTGTAGGAAGAAAACTTTAATAACTCCTGAAATGCATAAAAATAGATTTGAGCATATGGAAGTATTTGTCTTATTCATGGATAAGAAGATTCACCAAAAAGCTCTCAGTTCTTTTTTAATCTCAAACTTTGAGATGATCCCTAAATAAATACCACTGGTTTCTTTCCTTCTTCTCCTTCTCTTTATCCTTTTCCTGGAGCTAGACACATTGATTGAAAGGTTCATGTGGATAAATACACAAGGAAAAATAGCTGGGAAATCCCTGGCAGGGGCTAGGGTAGGGAGGTGAAGGGCAGATAGGAATGTTGGGGTGGAAGGTGGGGGTTGGAACAGGCTCTACTTGATATTAAAAATTGAATTCTAAACATTTAAAACTGTATTGATTGATAGTATTGATCCATAAACAGCCAGATAGACCAATGGGACAAATGAGATATTACAGAATTAGACCCAACTGTATATGAAATTTAACATATGATTAAAAATAACCATCTCTATAAAAGGAAATGTTTTATAAGGTCTAAACAAGACACAAGCAAAGTTATGAAAACAACTGAGAAAAAAAAGTATTTACATCTAAAATATAGGAAGTGGGCTAATTGTTAGCTCCTAAAAATTGAGAAGTAAAAGTTTGATACTCTCTAGCAAAATAGACAAAATTTCTTCTAAGAGCCCTAATACCTTTTAGGTATTGAGTATCAGAAAGTTCCTAACTCTTTCTCTGAATGATCTAGAAATAAGTGACAACCCAGTAGTAATAAACACTACTGTTATCACCCAGATTGTTACTGTTTCCTCCTAAAAGGTATCAGGGTCCTTTGAAGAAATTTCAGATTGCAGGTCTGGGGTAGTAAAGTCTAACAAGATCATGTGGATATGGCACCAGAGTCAGATTAAAAGATCACTGAACAAAGCATTAACTTCTCACATCCACAGGAATAACTGCCATGGATTCAACACACTGAATATGTAAGTCAATGAGTTCATGGTTAGAACAGGCAAACCAAAAATGCCAAGTAAAACAGAATATCATTATTGGCTACCCTTTGACAGTGCTAGGATACAACACCTTCCTCTGAAAATTGGTAGTTAATGGAAATGAATTAAGCTCTTATCCTGCCTGCCCTGAAGGGACCATATTTCAGAGTAATCAAACATCCCTGCTCAAAGAGGGGAAATTCCTCTCTACTAAAGAATTGTAGCTAAAAAATGTAGAGGGAATAATAGAATTTTGAAACACTCTGATAAAATAATTGGTTCTGGCAGTGACCATCAGTAAGATTAATGTGATGGGAAAGGTTGATGGAAACTTGACCATGAGGAGTCAGGCTACCACCATCTGAGCCCCTTAATGAGCATTGTATGAAGTCAGATAAACAGGCATTATGGCCTCCTAATGTGATACTTTGTGAAATGTATAGCAACCTGAAATATTCTTACCAAAGAGTTAATGTTAAATCTATTAAGCCTTGAGATCTAACTTTCTAGTTTAAAGAAGTGAAAGCAGGTAAGGAAGGCAGATAGAAAAACAAAGTAAATGATACCACAAGGAAAAAGTCAGAAAAATCCCCAGTGAGGCAGAACATACAGACAATTAACTAGGTTCCTTCAATACGCCTTTGGCTTGGTGGTTAACTCACTGTTGATTGTTAGACCTTGAGCTTCTTGAGGACAAAGTACATCCTGTATTCATCTTTACATTACTAGTCTCTTTGAAGTACCTAACACGTGGTGAGTGCTAAGTAAGGGTAGTGTGTGTGTGTGTGTGTGTGTGTGTGTGTGTGTGTGTGTGTTTATGGGGATTCACGATGACCTACATCTCCAGCCCTTTTTTATTTTGAAACAGTGTCTTGGTAAGTTGAAAAGTTTGAGCTTGAACTTGTGATCCTCATGCCTCAGTTTTGCAGAATGCTAAGATTACAGGTATGTGTACCACCATGCTTGGTAGTAACAGTCCTTGAAAGAATGAAGGAAGGATCATAAATATGAATAAGTCACAATTTCATTATCCTTATGTCATGGGACCAGTAGACAAACCCCAATCCCAGCTTCAGACAGTAGCAACTATTTTTACATTAGTTTTTAATATTTTTAATTCTTTAAGAATTATTTTTAAAGTATCCTAATGAGTTGGCAACTGGTCACATAATTAAATGATTATATCTTATTATTTGCACAATTGTACATGAAAGAACAATCTGTAAAAGGTGGCATTTTCTAACTTCTCAGAACTTATGCTCTGTGAAGACAGCCTGACTCTGGTAAGTAAATAATAAATATAAATACTGGCACGCCCTACCGAAGTCCAAATGCGCCAAATCAGAATCAGCCCTCTGCAGACAGGCAGGTCTACGCACGCCCTACGTAGGTCCCGAGTCATGTGGAGCATGCCCAGTCAGCCCGCTGCAGACAGGCAGGTCTGCGGACACCCTACCGAGGTCCTGGGTCATGCAGAACACGCCGATTCAGCCCGCTCCCCAGTAGCAGTCCACTGGATCCCCCCACCGCTCCTCTGTGCAGCCACCTGGTCCCACACTACAGGGATGCAGAGGACACGGGACCACCAGACCACGGTACTGAGTCCCGCTGCTGCCGGCCTAGAGGTAGGGGCTTCTGAGCTGCCGTCCCACTGCTCCTGGTCCAGAGGAAGGGGCTTCCTGGCCACCATTGCTCCCACTGCTCCCAGCCCAGAGGAAGGGGCTTTTGGGCCACCTTCTGTCCCACTGCTCCTGGCCGGATGAAGGGGCTTCCGGGCCACCATCCCTCCCACCACTCCTGGCCCAGAGGTAGGGGCTTCTGAGCCACCATCCCGCTGCTCCTAGACCAAAGGAAGGGACTTCCCAGCCACCATCCCTCCTGCTGCTCCCAGCCCACAGGAAAGGGCTTTTGGGCCACCATCCCTACCACTGCTCCCGGCCCCTGTCCCAACTCTCCCAGCTCAGAGGAGGTAATCCGTGCAGGCGCCAACAGTGCCCCCCCCCCCGCAGTCAAAATGAGAAAACACGTAAATAAATCTCAAAACCAGACTTCCAGATCACCTACAGCAACCCCAAA